GTTGGCCTGGGTACGGGAGCGACTGCGCGAGGACATGTCGCCCTCGGAGTGCCAGACATCAGTCTGTTGGTGGCTCTGCCTCCTGTACCTCACCACTTTTCCTTCGCAATGGCACTGACCAAGATTGCCGTTCTCCTTTTGCACTGCTGTGCCTACACGGATGAAGATCAGGACAAGAGAGCTGCAATGACTGCAGAGCCAACTTGCTCATGCCGTCGAGTGTTCGGCTCACCCACAGAACTCGTGCTTTCGACAAGTACTCAAGCAGGCACAGCTCCGGGCTCAGGCCGTGGTCTTGCTATGTGGGTCTCCTGAATCTCTCATGTGCCCGTGGGAGTTTGGATACGGTGCAGCCAAAGCAAGCAATCCTGCTCGGTGGAGATGAGGGGGCTCAGAGTACGAGGCAACAGAGCGTGGATCGGTCGCCAAGAGCCAACATCTTACACATCAGGTAGCTTACTCATGTATTGATCCTCGGGTCGGTTTCACACTCAGTGAGTGCTTGGTGCGGTAATATGCCGGCCATGCATGGAGCCTGCTCGCGCAGCGTTCACTTGCACATTGTTGTTGTTGTCGCTGTTGTTGTTGCCCGCCTCCAACCCTGTTACAGCCTTTGGATCTGCCAAGGAAGGGCACTCGGTGCAGCCTCAGCAAGAAGCTCCGTAACCAAGGTGGATACTCCATCCATGGCGGAAGTGCGCTGCCAGGGACCAGTGGCGATTAGGACCCTGATTGGCGATTAAGCGGGTCAATCTCTGCAAGATCAGGAGACTGATCTTCCTAAGAAAGATTGACTGGCTCAGGCTTGCCAGTCGGATCAGCTCTTCGAGTGGGCTCACTCGTAGGCAACGGTGTTGATCATCAAGCAGAGAACCTCCGGTACTCACGGCCTCCGAGCAGGTGAGACTGTGGCAGCACCGCACGCAAACGCTTCGCCTGGAGGGATGCGATGTCTGCCAGACTCATCACGGGTGGAGATGGGTTTTTGACCATAGCTCTGGGTGAAGGTGAGGCCTACAAAGAGCTGTCTCAAGCCACAGCCTATTTCGGTGAGCTCTATTCAAGCGGATGTGGGAGCATGTTGACATGGCCGCAATCTTGGAAAGGGACGCCAATGTCGAAATTGTGGCCTCCACTATAAAGTCTATATATGACCAGACTTGCCGGTCATGTGCTGTGCCGAACAGGCTGCTCATCTACATGCCTAAGGACGATGGGACAGTTGTCCGGCAAATGCGCATCGATCACAAGGTCGGCGGCCAAAAAGCGCTTCCTACGTGAGCGAGAGAAGGAGCATGTAAAGCGCCCCTATGAAGCTGCAGATCCTCCAACCAGCGAGACGCAGCAACAGGACTACGGCTCCTCGTCCTCCTCCTGGCAATGGCGGCTCTCTAACACCGGGGCCTCTGGCCACACACAAACGGCCAGCACAGGTGGCAGTGCCAAGTCAAGCCCGTGACGCTTGACACGGGCCGAATCGAGCTGGCCGGTCAAGCCGCTGAGTTATTCAACTCATTTTGCTTGAGATCTGCCACTGTGCCCGTGCACCGCGAAAATTGAGCACTGGCAGACAGGAGTGTGCACTTGTGCCAGCCGCATCAGCCTGTTTGATAGCATGCATTCAGGTACCCGCAGGCTGAGCCAAGCGCCTATTCTGTGTCGGGCTCTGACCGTGGTCCTGCTATGTGGAGATCTCTCAACCATCTCATGTGCTCGACGGTCCATCAGGATACGGGGCAGCCGCAGCAGNNCAGCAGGCAATCCTGCTCGGTGGAGATGTGAAGGCAGTCTCAAGTGCCTGTCGGCCCAAAGTGGTACGGAGCAGCATTGCGTGGATCGGTTGAGGTGAGTCAACAGTGAGTCATGTGAGAGGCCCTCAAGTAGCGGTTTAGCTTCAATCATGCTTGATTTGATTAAGGGTCGGTTTCACTTGTTGTGAGTGCCTAGCGCGGTTACATGCCCGCTATGCGTGGAGTCCGCTCGCGCAGCGTGCAATTGAATCGCTTGCTGTCGTCGTGGTAGTCGTTGTATGTCGTTGTGGCAGTAACCTCCACCATCAAACCGCAAAACAAGAAGTGCAGCAATGCCTGAGGTACTGGTAGAAAATACCAAGAATCGTAACACTGAGAATAACAATCAAAAGTCAAACACTGAGTTGTGCAAGCAGAAACCCACCTCCCATACTAGGACTAGCTGGCGATAAACCCTCAGACTACTGAGGAAGGTATTCATTCTTCCGCGGTGCAGTATATAATACTCACTTGACAACAACAACAATAGACAACAACAAAACAAATAATGTACTGTACACTGTTCACTTGACAACAACAAGAGACAACAGCAAGTCAAATAATGCTATGATTCCGTGAACGACAAGGCATGGAATTAAGCACCACGCAGTTCACCCTGAAAAAGCACGCAAAAGAACGCAATCATCTGCTGTTTGTCCCGTCATACACTGAATTACTGACCACGTCGCATAGCAGAAAGCAATGCTTAAATACATCTATTCAGCGACGTGTCCCTATACCTTTACGGCACAAAAAATGCGAAAACACAAGAGCATCTTGCAGAAGGGCAACGGCTGTCGCCCTGCTGGCTCTTGCCGACCTTGATGCCGACCAGGCCGGCGCTCTTCCCTGGGCCCAAACATGTCACATGGCTCTCCGTCTCTTGTGCCCGCTCTGCCCCTTGCGCTCCTGCTCCACTGGGATGGAACTCGAGCAGGCTCTTGATGAGCTTGAAGTCGCTTCCATCGGGCTTCAGCTGCTCCCCATCGCTGCGCGAGTTGAGGATCTCCTTATTGGGGCAGAATGCGTCTCTCTGCCTGCCGTTCTGTAGTAGCACTCCGAACATCACCAAGAGTCTTTGACTCGTCCTCGCAGCATCGCCACGTTGTTGAAATGGCAGGTGCCCAGCTTGATCGGGCGGTTGCGCTCCTTCTGCCTCTTGCGAGACTCCCTCTCCTGGCACTGCAGAGGCTCAGTAGCTACGCGACAAAGGAGACGTGCATTTGCACCCTCTTGTCCCTGATGTGCTTCGGCATGTCCTTAAGTGCCTGCACGCGAGTGTTACTTGAGCAAATTCCATACCAGCCGCGAGTTCCCAGCCTTCTGCAAAACGTCGGCAAAGCAAACCTCGCATTTCAATGAGGCGCCAGCAAGCCTGTCGGAAGCAGCGGCTGCATGTACAAGAAACCGGCATCGAATGGCAGGCATCAGCTGTGACGAGACCCTAGTCACTCTAGTCTTCCTTCCGGCCCTCACTCCAGCTTGTTCTGCAAAGCTGCCCAATTTGGAGGCTTTCGAAGAAGGGCACGTCACCGTCGAAAGGAGCACAAGCTAAGGTGCATTCCTCTGCAACATGCTGGCCGACGGCTATGCTACATCCAAATGTGTAACTCAATTGAAACCAGGCGTCGTTCTTGTCGTTGACCTGGCTGACGTGCCACAAGTTGACTTTGGCAGGAAGCTTTTCCTGGCAAGCAAGGAACTTCATGCAGCGGGTCCGAATCCTTCTGCCGACCCATCTGGCCTGAACGGCTGCCTTTACCTGTGTCCACTGCTGCTCCTCCGGAACGTTGCGGAATATCGCCACGACTCCACCTCGGGGTCTGAAGGAGCGACACAGCGCCTCTCAGGTCTCTTAGATCGGCCCGAACGCCATCATGCGCATGAATCGAGTTCTTCTTCTGGGGATGGCTCGGCCTGCCGACATGCCGCACGATGTTTCGCACATCGACGCCACTCCGGTTCTGGCCTCGCTTCCAGCTTCGGCCTCGGAGCGAGTGCGCACCCACGTCGCCCCCTCTTCACCTTTCCCGCGTGGCACCCCTTACTCAGATCTTCACAGGGCAGCATTGCCCGGTCTGCGGACGGCTGCAGTGCCCTGTGCAAGTGCCAGCTGAACAGGGCTGGGCTGGAGCTCCGACGTGCCTCGTTGACGTTGAGCTCAATTTTAGACTCCTTCAGTGCAGCTATCACGTCGTCCTGCCCGGTCAGCTGAAGGCTGCGCTCTCATGCCAGCGATTACCCAACACGTGTTCCGACTCCCACCTTGCCGGCACGCATAGACTTCATCTTGTTGCAGCTCAGGATGAAGCTCATGTCCTCGCTTGGAACTGCCGGAGTTCCGATCAGGGCCGAACTGGTCATGGCGGGGAGGCCATCGTAAATTCAAGGTCGAGCATCGAGCCATCCGTCCGCATTAGCTGAAATCTTATCATGGAAGAACTTGTCGTACTTGAGGTTCTCGTCGCTGAGGTAATACTCTACCTGCCATGTCCCCAGCACCAGCTCCAGCTGCAAATTCTAGAGACACCTGAAAAACCAAAGAAAGGTCGAGTCCCGGCGCCTGCTTGCGAACTACTGCCGGATCGGGGGGTGTCGGCTTCAGCCGCTTGGCATGCGGCTCTGCTCCTCCCTCCTGCACGCTGGTTCTTGGCACTCCGCCGCTCTCGTCTTTGAAGGGGGAGCAGGGCTACCTTTCGCTTCTCGGCAGGCGCGGCCTCAGACTTGGCCTAGCAAGTCTCAGGATTTACACCGCTTGCGGAAGAGTTGAAGTTGCCGCCTGCTCCTCCGGCTTCGCTTCCGTTTTCTCTTCAGTCTTCTCCTCCGGCTTCTCAGCCGGCTTCTCGGCCTGGGCTGCCACCCCAAACACGACGTTCTGGTCAGAATGAGCTCCATGCGTTCTCCGCCATGGCCAGCTAGATGACTTGATGCCTCTGGAGTTTGCGAAATGCCAAAGCTCAGCTGTGAAGGAAGCCGAGTCATACATGGCCGAGCCCGGCACCGACCTGAGCCGTGTAAAAGAGAGTCTCAAGCCGGAAATCCAGCAATTGCCGAGCCGAAAAGCGCGGAACGCCAGTGCGAGTGCGCAGAACCGCGTGCAAAATCTGAAGCACTAGTCACTAGGCATGACAGGAAGACAGCGGTGAATGGCACAGCCACACAGATTTTGCAGATGCTTTGCTGCTGATAAAGCCATCTTCGTGATACACCTTACACGAAAACAAGGCTCAGTGCCACGAAAGCTGCGAACCACCCAGCATGCCTTCCACGACAGCCGACAGCACTTCTGAACGCACATCACTGGGAATCTATACTTCCGCCTCGCAGGCAAGCCGCTTCTCTCTGAAGCAGGCTCCTCTTCCTAGGTTGCATGACGCACTGCGAAAGAAGGCGACCACCAGACTCGTCACCCGGCAAGGTAACCTCTGCTGGCTGCTTCGTCGTTGACTCATCACCAGCCTATCGGAGCATGAGAATGATGCCACTCGGAGCTCAGTTCCGGGGATCACCTCCAAAAGCCTCTGCACTTCAGCTGCCACAATATCACACACGCAGAGAAATTTCTCGCGGTCCACATCTATCCTAAGACTGAGAATCTAACACGTGTAACACAGTTAAGTTGTCGTCTGGCTTGTCGTCTGGGACAAGCTGGCGGGAAGCATTGAATGTCGAAAGTCCCTAAATCGTCGGCGACCGCGTCCTGAGATCGTATCAACAAGATGTGCCTTAAGCTGCCGGAGTTTGGCTGAAGCACTGCGCAGTTCTGCCTCCTCCGCTGCCAGCCTTGGGCTTCTTCTGATGCACATCGGCACATGCATGCCACGAGTTTGCGTCAGTCTCCAGCCGTTTCAAGTTCTTGCTGTATTGCTCCTTGGCTTCTCCAAGCTCAACCTCGCGCTTCATGGTATCTTTCCAGGCGACATTTTCTTTCATCGTCGCCTGGCAGGTAGGAGCGACCACGGCTCTTGACGCTCCGAAGCACGTGCCTTACCCTAGATCTGCAACTGATGCAGCAGTCCTTGGTCACGTGCTTTTGGAGCTGCTCGTACTTGTATTTGGCGTCCTTGAGCTCCTGCACTGCATCACCGCATAACTTCCCAAGCGTGGTCGACCTCCCACCAGAGGACACGCCGGTCACAACCCACCTCCGGCAGTGTCGAATTCGCAATCTCTGCTTTGAGCTTCTTTCGCTGGGCTTCGGAATCGCTTACGTACTCTTTCCTTGTGGCAGCAAGCGCGTTGTAAAGCAACAGGTGTCAGACTGAATCGTTAAACGTGCCCTGTCGAAGGATGTACGTGCCAAGAGGCGCATAATTCAGTCCCTTTTGAAGCTGCTTCATCTGGCTCTTGAGCTCTCTGAGGTTGGCTTCCCCCGCCTGCGGCAACGACATTGACATGGGAGTCCATACCAGAATTGGTCCCAAGTGATGGAACGGTCCAAGGATTGACTGATTGACCCCTCCACCTAAACATGACACCGGGATTCTGCAAGAGCCAGAAAACCTGGCCTTCAGGTCTTCTTCGCTCGGCTTGCGTTGTCTATGCTTCTGCAGCGATCGAAGCATACCCCAATCTCGCCCCACCCGTCCAACTTCTTCCTCCGTGATGTGTATTGCTTCCCGATCTCGGGTTTCTTGAAGTTGGAGCTCTGTCTCTTTGACTTCGTCCTTAATGACGGCCTTCTGCAGGTTCTGAATCTTCGACCTGACTGACGGCTGTCCCTTCGATAGAGCTGTTATACTCAACCAAATTGCCAAGCTCTCCCAACATTTGCCGGGTCGCTGGTGGTGGTCTTCGTGCTCGGCTTGCGCGTGCGATACGTGGTGGTGCGAATGTCGGGCATGCCTTTTGTGGTGAGAAGAGCTCACCAACAACGGCAGCAGCAGCCCCGCCAACACCTGCCTTCCAACCTCAGTTTTTGACATGTCAGCTACAGCTGCTTCGCGAGCTTTTCTGTGTGCTTTCTGTTCATACCCATTCGCACAACTCGGCAATCGTCGCACCACACTTAACAGTGCTCACGCATACAACAAAGGCACCACCACGAAGCCCTAGGCTAGTGTAAGCGATCAACATACACCATGGCATCGGAGAGCACCGCTTCGTTGGAGGGAATGCGGGGGACTGCCCCGCAAACGACTGCGAGGAAATCAGCTCAAGCCGCATCTGTATGGATGTACATCCTACTCTCTGCAACATCTGTTCATGTCCACACTGCCTTGTTTTTCGCCAGCTGCTGAGAAGCCCTAGGTTAGAGCTCAACATTCAGCCCTGTACGGCACTAACTTCACTACAGATGCGAGTCCACGCCATCTAAACTGCTCAGGCATTGCTCGGCAGGCTACCTCCACACGGTGCCATGACAAGCGGCCCCTAGCCAAACAAAAGATAAAGGGGCGGCCTCATCGACACCAACGTGCTGCACACCGGGAAGCGGCCAAACCACCCAGAGCACCAACTGGCGCCTGAACACGCACAACGGAAGCTAGCCATTCCTTCAAATTGTTGTAAGAAAGGAAAGGATCAGGATATCTTAGGCGCCGGCCGCGATCAAGAGGCCGGTGACCTCAGCGTGCTCCAATCTTTCATTCACCCATGCAGCTCTCCGAAACCAGACCGCATTCGTGTGGTGAAATACAACCGCACAGCATACCCAGTGAAAGGGTCGGGGTTTCAATAGGGTTTGCTATCCTCCATTCCGGTAGCAACCTGGCTGCTGAATGTCGCCGTCAATGTTGGCAGTGCCACGAACGGGAACGGAGGCAGCGTAACAACGCTGTCAGCTCCTGCGATAGTCAGTAGAACCCCTGCCACGTTCACGAGGGCGTGGGGACGAATGACGGGCGTAATACGACAAAATCCGGCCACAGCCAGGGAGGACCATCAGACATGCCCGCGGCCCGCAGCGGGAAGGGAACTGCATAATCTACCGCTGTGCATTTGCAATGGCTCGTCATAGGTGGGCAGCGACTGCTGCGTTCCTGCACATCGCAGCTTCCTACACTCACTATCCCGTTGCATCAGCACCGTCGCGGACACGATTTTCGGGGCCCCCTGTTCCGTCTCCCTCTTCTTCAGCCGGCGCAGCCACCACGATGCCTTGGGGGCCATCACGCGGGCTGCGCCACATCTGGCAGACTCCCAACCCGAGCGGCCTGCAGCTTTGAACCGCGCATCGATAGCTGCCGCTTCGGATGGAGGAACTGTTGGTTTTGGGCGCGCCGCTCGGCAGCGACGTGCTCGTCCAACGAGAGCTGCATCGCAATAGTGCCGTCCACAACAGCCGCTTGAAAAGAACGCGGCGTGTCAGGCATCATAGGCGATGCATCCTCCGCTCCTGCGATCGCTTCAAATGGTGCGATTTGCAGTCGGCTACGGCATGCATAAACCGGACTAGTTCCAGCCCTGGCGCCCTTCACGCGCTAGAACCCCGAAACCCTAATACCCTAAATCCCTGCAGCCCTCAGGCTCGAAAACCTTTTACGTACGCCGACAACCGCCCAACCTTCCGCGCATGCAAGTTCGGGCCCGGGCAAGCCACGGGACAGCTTCGGAGTTCGCAACTCCGCGAGCAGCAGTATCGGCGCATTGTGGGGGCCGCTTGTCAGGCTCACGCCCCCAGGCCCGTGCATCCACAAGGGTCGGACCCAATTGTACCCGTTGCCCACCATGCACTCAGTGACTCCGCACGGCGGGGTTTAGATTCCAGGATCGGGCCCCCCACAGGATCTGGCAAGGAACTCCGCACGAGCCTTCGAAAATGTAGGGTGGCGGAGCCCACGCATTTTGGCAGGATTTTGGAAGGCTCCCGTCCTTCTACAGTGGACCAGTGAAACCGGTGGCACCTTGTCGGTATTGCTGGCGCACTCTGTCGCTTGGTTTTGCAAGATACGGGAAAGAAGATGTACACCAAAGTAGCCCGGTGCAACTTACGAGCACACTTTTCCAGGCCACAAAAGATCTGTCGGCATAACTTCCAGCGCCTCGATTCAACGTCAGGTTGTCGACAAACCGACGGCGGCATGAGCTCCTGTCCAGGCAGGAACTCCTAGCAGGCCTGACCCAACACAACTTCCAAAGCAGCCCTGGTTCAAGTTGTCGAACCCGCGGCCCATCGATGTGGCACCCGACAGCCAAAAACCCAGCAGCCGTTAATGCTCACAAAGCTGCCGCTCAGGGCTTGATGCGCAGGCAACGGCGGACCCCATCGTGGTCCTCGAGATGCAGCATCCTGCCGGGTCGGCACACGAGCCAGCACATTCCCACAGACAGACTGCGACACTCACACATACATATCCGCCCAGCGCCTCCCTCTGTCTCTCAAGCTGGGCCGCACGCGGGTGCCTGGTTAACCGCCATCCCGGCCGAGCCAGCCACACTGCCCCCGCCAGCGATGCAGCTTGCGTTGCGCCGCCGTCTGCGCCTCCCACAAATCGGTGCGGCCCCTCTCCCGGATGCGGCGGGCTCGTCGACGTCTTCGGCGACCATGCCTTGGCCTGCCCTCGCACTGGGTTCTTGGCTTTGCGAGCAAAGATCGTCGAGCGGGCTTGGGTGGGAGTCGCGCGCAAAGCCGTTGGGGCGAATGGTCAGGTAGTCCCGCAGCAATGGCTCTCCAACACCACTGCTCCTGGTGTTGCGCCAGACGACGGACGCCGTCTTGACTTAGTGATCTCGAACAAGCCAGCCACAACCCGGCACCGCGGTGCACGACGGCGCCATGCTGCGGGTTGCCGAGCGGCGCAAGCGAGCTACCCCGAGTTCATCTCCCGAGGTGCGCAACGGCACCTCGTGCTCGGCTCCGAGATAGGTGCCTTGGAATGAAGTAGCGCAGCGGCTCGTCCGAGACTTGGTGTGCATCCGAGCCCAACGGCGCCGCCGGCACTGCGAGTAGCAGCTGTAGCGGTGCAGAAGGCCGTGAGCAGCACAGCGCTCGGAAGCCCGTGGCCCGCGCCACCACACGCGAGCCAACTACTAGGCCCGGAGCTAAACCGTGTGCTCGTCCTCGCCGAAGCTGCGCGCTGCGCTAGCCACAGTTGGGCCATAGACTGCCCACACATATGGCCTGCCGCCCCTGTAGCCGCAGTAGTGCGGCTAACATGGTCACCGCTTCGTTCTACGGACAAAAAAATTTATATATATACATATAGGTGATATAGGTTATCCTCTTGATTTAGCAGGTTTTGATCCCCCGAAGCTTCCATTTTCGAGACGAGAATGGCTTTTTTTTTCCACACACCTTTTTG